CCCGGGGGGGGGGGGGGGAGCTGCGCAGCCACAACCTGAGTCGAGCAGGTACGCGCGTGCGTGCACCCCGCAGAGTTGCGCCCGCGTCGGGACAAGGGATGGCCGGGCTCACCGACCGCAGCCGGGTTGGGCTCCAGGGAAAGCTCCATAAGCGCCTCCTCAGCCGCCCGCCACGCGCCGGCGCGGTACTTGAAGAGCCACCGTGGCGGCGCCGCCTGCTCCGGCAGCGGGAGCTGCGGCGCCGCCGCCGCCCCCGGCGGCCCGAGCGGCAGCCCGCCGGCCGCGCTGCTGCCGCTGCCGCTACCGCTTCCGCTCAGGCTGCCGCCCTCTGGGTGCAGCAGCAGCGCCGCCTGCCGCTGCGGCGGTGCCGACCCCTGCCAGAGCGCCAGCGCCTCCGCGGCCACGAGCTCAAACAGGGCCTGCAGCCTCCCTGCTCTTTCGCGGGCCGCGGCTGCCGCAATCTCGAGCCCGCGAGCCTCGTCAGTGTGGCGGGCGCGCTCGGCGCGGGCGCGGGCCTCGACGGCGGAGCGCTCGGCGTCGTGCTTGGCTTCCAGGCTGCGAAGAGTGGTGACGAGCGTCTGCGGGCCGTACAGCCAAGCGAGACGGGTGCGGTTTATGGCTCGCGTGGGGACAACAACATATGTCGGGAGCGCATAGCGGGCGCACGTGCGCTGACTACGCCGCCACTCTTCTGCATACCACCTGGCTTCGCTGCCGCTCGGTTTGCAGCATTCGAACAACCGTTCGTCGTGCATCTGGTGCCTGCACAAGGGCGCCTGCCTGCACGCACAGCAGCCGTCCTGTCAGCCCTCCTCGCCCCTGCCTCCCGGGGGTCCCCGCGGCCCCATCCCCCACCTGTTTCGCCGCCTCCACCTCGCGCGTCAGCTCCTCTATGCGCCCCTCGAACGCGGCGGTGCTGCCGCGCAGGCGCTCCCGCTCGCCCTTGAGCTGGGACACCTCGGTCTGCGCCGCGAGGGAGGTGGCGCGGGGCGACTAGGCGGCGGTGGGCTTGGTCGTCGCGGGGTCGCACAAACGTGACAGGGCATGTACTTGTGTTTGCACACGCGCGTGCCAAAACGTGCGGGGCTGCATGAATTCTTGTGAAGACCGCACTCACACGGGCGACGCCTGCATGCATGCATGCATGCATGCATGCATGGACAAATATGTGCGCACGCGCACGCACGCGCGCGCGCACGTACACACACACACACACACACACACACACACACACGCACGCACTCATGCATGCCCGCACACACGCACACACACGTGCGCGCACATGTGCATGCTCCCGCACCGTGTCCATTGTCGCGCCCAGCCTTCCCGCACCTGCAGGAAGCTGATGGAACCTGTGGCCCTCTGCAGCCGGTCCTCCAGAGCTGTGCGCTCCCCCTCCAGGGAGCGGATCCGCTCCAAGAACGCAGTGATGCCTGCCTGTTTTACATTAGTCGACATGTGAGCGTGTGTTCATGTATGAAGAAATGCAAGCGTAGGGGAGATGCAAATAAGAATGGTGTTTACTTGATGCCAAATTTGATGTTACAGGGCAGGAGGAACATTTCTGCACCCCGGAATGCGCGAATCCAGCTTCAGGAGTGTGCGCACGCCTCGCACTTGATCCAACCCTCCCAGCGTGCCCTTGACTGCGCCCCTGCCCCACCTGCAGGTCGTCCATGCGTGCAGACAGCGCCGCCTTGTCGCGCCGCGCCCCATCAAACAGCTCCAGGTGCTCCGCCAGCCGCGCCTGCGTGGCGGCCTCCGCGGCTTCTGCCGCGGCCAGCTGAGCAAAGGCGGCCGAGTTGACCAGGTCCTCCGCCTGGTGGACGGGCGTGGGTGGAACGCGGCAGGGGTTGGCGTCGGCTCGACGAGACAGCAGCAGGCGTGCAAAAAAAGCGGCATTCCCAGATGCAGCGCCTGCTCATCTATCTTACATCAGCAAGCTGACATCTCTGCATCACCCTGCCCCCCTCTTGTGAGGGTGCGAGCGGCACAATCGATGCTGACCCGCCGTGCATGCAAGTCGGTAGAGCTTGTGCGCAGCAGCAGCAGCAGCAGCAGCAGCAGCAGCAGCAGCAGCAGCAGCAGCAGCAGCAGCAGCAGCAGCAGCAGCAGAAGCAAGCTCCAGCATTCAGCGCAATGTCACGAGGCGCCTGCACAAGCCAGGGACGGCGCACGGCCGACAGCCACCCCAACTGCCCCACACCTACGGCACAGCCCCTGCCACCCCCGACCCACCTTCAGGGCGCTGCGGGCCAGCAGCTGCTGCCGCTCCAGCACCCGCGCCTCGTGCGCCGCCCGCAGCGCCGTCTCGGCGCGCCTCGCGCGCTCGAGCGCGGCGGCGCGGCGCCCCTCGGCGTCGGATCTGGCGCCCCTGATCTGGGCGGCCTGGTCTCGGATCTCGAGCACCTGCTCCTTGACGCTTGAAACAGCATCCTCGGACAGCTCCGGCGCCGCCAGGCTCAGCTGATAGAGGGGGCGAGGGGTGTGTCAAAGCGCAGGATAAGATTGTCAATAACAGCGACGGAGCCTCTGAGGCCAGGTGCGGGGTGCTGGCCTCATGCGCTCAGCCCCCTGATTTTGATCAGCTCTTGTTCGCCAGCGGTGCATACAAGCCCAACTTGCCACTCTCCCCGCCCTGGTCGCTGCCCCCTCTGCAGCTAGCCCCCCCTCGTTGCTCAAACCCGAGCGCTGGGTGCACCCACCACCAGCTGCTGCTTTTCCACCTCCAACGCTTCTGCCTGCTCATCAAGATGCAGCAGCTCGGCTGCTGTGTCATGTGCCTCTGCAAAGTCAGTAGGCGGCGTGTTAGGTCGTACGAATGCGGCGTCAGAAAACAAGGCTTGGGCGAGCGAGTGTGAGGCAATCTGTTGGCTGCAAGCCCTATGTGGTGACGAGCGCGCACAGCGCCACGCCGCAACGCGTACAGCACGGTGTGTCCCTCCCACACCCCCCTACATCCGGCATCTACACCGCCTGAAATCCAATTATTGTGCAACGCCCCCAGCGCTTGTTGGTACCCTCTTTCCCGCATGCGGCATCTTTTCTCAAGCAGAGGCGTAGCTGCTGAGCCCAGGGAAAGCAGTGACGCCCCCCTCCCACCCTCCAAGGCTTCATCCAGCATCCGCCGCGCCTCAGGCACGCCCACAGCCGGCCCCTCGGCGCCCGTCATCCCAAGCCCCGCGTCGTCCTCTGCGGGCCGCCCGACGGCGACGCGGGCGCGGGCGCTCGCGCCCAGCAGCAGGAGCTGCGCGCAGACGGTGTGTGAGTGTGTCAGGCCGAGGTTGTGCCGACTCTGAGCTCCTGCATGGCATGCCACTGCACCTCTGCCCCTTGCCTGCTCCCACCTGGCGGCCCTTCTCCTGGCCCACGCCAGTGTCTATGCACCCATGCAACCACCTTCGGCCACGTACTCCAGCACCCACCCCCCAAACACAAACCCACCCCTCGGGAGACATCCACCCACCCTTCTAACGGTGGTATTCCACTGACTCAGGCACGCGCCCTGAGCAAACCTCGCCGTTTCCCCTTTTCCCCCTTCCCCCCCCACCACACCTTGACTTTTCCCTCCTCCTGCACCTCCAATCCGGCCCCCCTCTTCACGAACACCCGCCCTCGCCCTCTCCTGCAACCTTGTGTCTTCAACGCCGCTCCATCCACGGCTCAACCCATAGCGCCACCACAGCCAAAACCTCACCTCAGCCTCCAGGTTCTGCACCCGCCGTTCCAGCGCCTCTATCGCCTCCTGGCGCGCCAGCAGGCGGCCGTGCAGCTCCCGCATCTCGCTGTCGGCCGCCCCGCAGGCCGCCTTCCACCTCCGCTTCTTGGCGCGCTGCAAGGGGGCGCGGGCGGTGGGGGGCGCGGAGCGGCCGGGCGCGGGGCGGGGTCAGAGGTGGGGTTGTGAGAGTGGTGAGGCAAGGAAGGGGCAGGCATCAGTTGCACGCTTCCAGCACATTGCTGTCACACTCCTATACACGTTGACGCGGGTAATCATCTGCCTGGACAGCACAAAATTAAGGTTCCAGGCAAGGGCCGCAAGGACCCACCTAGATCTGTCTTCCCCTTGCCCAGATCTGCCACAACCAGATCTCCAGAACCCCCTTCACCTTCCGCTCTACCAGGGCCTTGAGCGCCGCCCCCCTGTCACGCTCCCCCTGCAGATCCGCTCCCGCCAGCTCCAGCCGCCGCGCAGCTGCTGCCAGCTCGCCGGCCAGCTTCTGCACCTGAAGCTCCAGGCGCGCCTGAAATGGGTGGTGGGATGTAGGCGGGAGCGAGGATGGGCAAAAGGGAGGGTGGCTGGGCCGGGCAAGATGATGCAATTGGTATGAACGGGGTTAAAAGTGAAACCCGGTGGGGGAGTGCTGCCAAGCCTGGTGGTTTGTTGGCTTCAAGCCGATGGCCCCGCCAGCACCAACAGCACGCCGCTGGACGTGCAGCCTTGAAACCTCGCCATGCCGCTCGCGCGTGCTCCATTGCGGGCACTGCCAGCGGGCACTGCCGGCATGCCACGACTCGCATGAGCGTCAGATGGGCGCCGCCGCCACCATTACAATAAGTTACATTACATCACGCTTGTCCAGCACGGAGGGGAGAAACCCTGGCTCCCCAAAGGGGTACCGCCCCTAACCGTAAAGGCCGCCGCCGCCGCGCCCTCCGTTTGCCCCCTGCCACATGGCGCCCCACCTTAGTGGCGTCCAGTCGGTCCAGAGCGTCCCGCCTCTCCCTGTCGAGCCGCGCCGCGTCGACCTCGGCCGCGCGCACCTCCAGCCGGCACTCAACCAGAGCGCGGTCAACTTCTGCGGCCGCCTCCCGCACCTGCGCCACGCAACACAACGGTCTTGCGCTTTGGGCGTTAGGGGGAAACGGGCTGTCACTCCGCCGCATCCGGTCAAATGGTACACCACCAGCAAATGAGCCTGGGGGCTGCTTGATCGCGCCTTGGGGCCGAAAGAGGCGCGACAAGCCGGCCTCAAAGGTGGCACACCAGGACCCTCTGGCCAGCAGCGCGTCCGCGGCCTGTGGTGGTCAACTTGCCACCACTTATGCCGTTGCCGCCTCAGTGCAACTGGCGGCCCCGGCCCGACCAATCGCCCCCAGGCTCCCCCTTGCAGCCACCTTCTGTATGTCCCGCCTCCCATTCTCTACGGCGGCCTGCGACGCCTCCAGCTTGGCTGTCGTCCGCCGCAGTGCCTTGGCGGTGTCCGCTGCCTCCTCCTCCTTTGACGCATACGCAGACTGCAGCTCCTCATGGTGCGCCTCAGCAAGCTGTTGTTGTTGTTGTTGTTGTTGTTGTTGTTGTTGTTGTTGTTGTTGTTGTTGTTGTTGTTGTTGTTGTTGTTGTTGTTGTTGTTGTGTGTGTGTGAGTGTGTGTGTGTGTGTGTCTGTGTGTGTTTGTGCGTGTGTGTGTGCACGTGTGCGCGTGTGTGCGTGCATGAGTGTGTGTGCGCGTGTGCACGCACGTCCTCGCGCGCACCTGCAGCCGTGCCGTGAGCGCCACTGCCTGCTTCTGGCTGTCCTGCAGGCTGCTGTCCAACAGAGACACCTCGCCCCTCAGCCGCAGGATCTGATCAGACTGGTCCTGGACCTGCAGCCCAGGCGCAAGCCCCGAAAAGAGGGGGGCAGGAAACAGACCAAAATCAACCCTCAAAGGTATGGTGTTGCAAGAAGGGTTGCCCTGGTGCCAGAGGGAAATTAGAGAGTGCCACTCAGTTGATCGACGATCCCGAATCTCTGTGCAGGGAGCGGCCTGTGCTAGCGGAGGCTGCCTATGGCGCACCAGCCAAAGAGGGCTTTCACCAACCAACCGTCAAGAACCACGGACCGGCCCTGCCCCTTGCCGCGCGCGCGCCCCCGCCCACCGTCGCGCCCATGTCGTGCAGGCGGACGTCGCGCTCCTCCAGGGAGGCCACCAGCGTGCGCGCGCGCCGCCGCTCCTCGGCGAGCCGCGCCTGCAGCAGCGCGCGCGCGGTCTGGTTGGCCCAGAGCGCCTGCAGGGAGACGCAGAAGCCCTTCATGTTCTGTGAAAGGAGGGGGGTGTGGAGAATGAGGGAGCATGAGGGGGGCGCTGTGGTGCTTGCACTGTTGGCAGCAGCACGAGGCGCTTGCATATTGTGCATACAGCCCGCATCCGCAAGCTGCAGAGGGGGGGCACCCTCAGTGAAGCCCGACGCTGCTGGGCGACCCGCGGACAGCAACGCCTCAAGCAGGCGCGGCAGCATCCTGTAGCCGGCAACGGGGGGCCGCCGGCGACCCGAGGGATGAGAATTCGCCAGCAGACACCCCTCTTTGCCCCCACCTCTGAAAGGACGCGCCGCCTCGACAGCAGCTGCCACCCCGCCTCCTGCAGCCTGTCCCTGAGCCCCGCCTGCGCCGCCGCCTGCTCTTGCGCCTCCTCCTCCAGCCGCGCCACCCGCTCCCTCAGCCCCGCCGCCCGCCACTCCAGCGCCGCGACCCTTGCCACGGCGTGGTCGCGCTCGCACTCTGCCGCCTGGCGGTCCAGGCGGCTGGCGTCGGCGTCGGCCAGGGCGGCCGCCAGGCGCCCGCGCAGGGCCTCGTTTTCAGCCTTGGAGTGGAAAGGATTTGGTGGAGTCGAGTTGATCAAGTCAGGTCTGCCAGACAGAGGGCGGGTGCTAACCCGCAAACGAGACAACTGCAAGGCGTGAGCATCCCCAGCGCCAAGGCGGGTGCAGCCCGAGCGTCGTCATGGGCGCGTCGCAGCTGCGCTGTCCGCCTGGCGGACCGAATTGCTGCCGCACCTGGAGTGCCGCGAGCTCCCGCGAAAGCCGGTCCCCTGCTACCCGCAGCTGATCCGACAGCTCTTCGGCGCAGACACGGGCCTGCGACGCCACGGGCAGCAGCAGCCGCATCAGTTGATTCGTCGCTGTAACGTGTGTCGTGAGCGTGTTGCATGGCACGGGGCCCCGTGTCCCGTCGCAGCAGCCAAATACGCCTGGCTCCCTGAAACCTCTTCCATCACAGATGAACCGTTCCCGCCACTGGGCTGTTCCCCTTCCCAGTCGCAGCCTGACCACCGCTCTCTTGAATTGCCGCCAACAGCTCTCTCAGGTCACCCTTGCTATCTTGCCTCACATACATTCGGCGCATGCGCGCCCCCCACCCCCATCCACCGGCCCCCCCCTGCCCTGCACCTGGCTCTCCACCCGCAGCTCGTCGGTTGCCTTGAATGCAGCCGCCCTGCTCCGCGCCGCCACATCCAGCGCGTCGCGCCACTGGGTGTACATCAGCTGGACGCAGCTCCCAAGGCGCTCCGCCAGCGGCAGCATGTCCTCAGCGGTCTCCTCGACACTGGATTCCTGCTGCTGCTGCTGCTGCTGCTGCTGCTGCTGCTGCTGCTGCTGCCGCTGCCCTGACCTCTCCGCCTCAGCTCCTGCGCCCCCAAGCTGCTCCCCTGAGCCTCCAACCAGGGACGGCGCTGCCTCCGCCGCCCCTGCCGCCGCCGCTGCTGCTGCCGCGGCCAGCGTTGGCTGCAGTTTCAGGCCTGTGGCGGCCGCCTGCTCGTCCAGCTGGCGGCAGAGCTGGCTGTCCAGCGCCAAGCCCGCGTCGACGCCCCTGAAGACGCCCCGCACCTGCGGCGCCGCGCGGCCGCGGCTCAGGGCCCTGCTGATGCGACTTACTTGACGCGCCGACCACCCATCAGACCGTCTCCCAATCAGCGCTTCACAGCACCCACCTCAAGCAAAACGTCTGGTAGAAAGGACGGACAGCTGCCGCGGCTTGCCCAAGGACATCAACGAACACGCCTCACCCCTTTGCACTGGCGCCGCAGCTCATCATAGTGCGCCGTCATCGCGTCGTGGCGCCCCTTGAGCTCCGCATGCGCCGCGCGGCTCTCTTGCAGCAGCCGCGTCGCCTCCTCGAGCTGCAGCTGCATGTGTGCCCTGCACGTGACATGTGAGCGGCAGTCACCTGAACAAAACAAGGGCTTTGCTACCAGAGGTTGAGGCTCCAAAACAGCAGGATGCGAGCAGCAACAGTCGATACCATGATAATGCCAAACCTAGCGCCGCATGTCCCGTAGCTAGCTAGCTAGCCAGCTAGCCAAACGGCGCGCCGGCCTGCAGTACTTTTGTCTGCAGAGCCGCGCGTCGGCGCCGCCAACTCACCGGGCCTCCAGCGCGTCTGCGTGCTTCACCACCGAGTGCTGGTGCGCGTGCTGCTCGCGCGCCAGGCAGTCCTGCAGCACGTCACGCTGTCGCGGAACGCGAGGGTTTGCCAGGAGCTCGTCAGCTGGACAGAGCACAGATTGACCAAAAAAACTCACATTGTGACAGGACGAGCGGCGCTGCAGCGAGGGTTCCAGCACCGCACTCCGGAGCGAGCTGCACGGGGCGCACAGCGTGAACAGTGCGCGCACCCGGGGGTCCCACCTGCAGCTTGAGTGTGCCGCGCAGTGCGGTGGCCTCCGCATGGGCAGAGCTCAGCCACGCCACGTCCTTAGACAGGGTGTTGCTCTCGAAGCGCGCCTGCACAAATCACCGTTGGAGGCGGCTTGGAAGGCCGTTGGAGGGGTGCTGTGTACTGAAGGGCGCCGCTCGACACCCTGAGGCCCAACGCCACCCCAGCTTGCTTGCAGGGGTTCGCGTACAAGCAAATACCTCAAACCAGCACATAGGTGATTTTTGCAGCCGCACGCCGATAGACCACCGCCAGGCGCGCGCTGGGGCCGCTCGCCGGCAGACCCACCTCAGCCAGCGCTTCCTTTGTCGCGAGCAGCTCGCCCATCGCCGCCGACGCCGCCCCGGCCAACGACAGCCACTCGCTCTTGAACCCCACCTGCAGGCGGGCGGGGCAGGGCGGCCGCGGTGGCGTGCGCTCTTTTGTTGCAGCGGCGGTGAAGCGGATAGCACATCGGCTGGCCGAGGGCTCGCATGTCCCGGATCCGCTGCTGTTCCAGCATTGGTCAGGACCGAGAGACACCAGCCTGCCGCCATATGCCCGATAGGCGCTAGAGGAGGCCCGGCCGATTATCGACGCAGAACATGAATGCAGAGCACCAACCTGCAGCGCGGCCTCTGCCAGGGCCAGGAACGCGCGCCACAGCGCCTGCAGCAGCTCCGCGCGGTGCTGACTGTGCGCCAGCGCCTCGCGCAGGGTGTCGCCAAAGCCCACAGAGTAGACGTACAGGGAGCGGTACACCCGGTCGGCGGCCGCGGGGGAGAGGCCGGCCTTTGATGAGGGTATCGACAGCAACGCATCAACCGGGCGCGGCAGGCATCGGCAGTTGGGACAGTTGGTGAGCAACGGATTTGCGCCGGCGTAATGGACGTGGCGTGGGCCAGGGACCTCCCTGCACAGCTGCCGCTGCTGCCCTGCTACTGCCAGGGCGCGTGTCCCGCGCCGCCACGCACCTGGGCCAGCTGCTGCCGCGAGAGCCCGTGCGCCTCCAGGCCCCGCCTGCTGCCCGGCGCCTGGTGCAGTGGGGGGTCCGCGGCCGCCGCGTGCCCGGCCAGCAGAGGGCCCGGGCCGCCGAGCACAGAGTCGAGCCACGCCTCAAGGAGCGGTGGGCCCGCCTCCTGGCGCATGTCGCGGGCGAGCACCTGGGACGAAGCGTGGCACAGGCGGACGCCATCAGCTGCCTGCCTCAGGCGCCCGGCTGGCATGAGAGGCTTGCAAGGCGCATGGTTGTGCAGCATTGGAGTTTAGATGACTCCAAACTCGCACGCGTTGGGCATTGCTGCTGCGTCCGCCAGCAAGCATCCAAGGCCGCCTCACCATCTGTGCCGCGCGCGCCGACGCGTCGAGCAGCATGCCGCCGGGCGACTCGGCCGCCGGCGCGCCGCCCATCGCGTAGGCCGCGAGCTCGCGCTTGCGCGCGCGCCGCAGGGGCGACGCGGCCGGCGAGGGGTCGTTGGCCACCAGCTCGCTGATTGCGTCTGGTGAAAACATGTTGGGAGAAGGCAAGGAGGTGCGACAGCGCTTCGCTTACCCCGACACTGGTGCCCATTGATGCAGCTGCGGGGCAATGACCTGCTTATCTGTTTGCAATTGCGTCACAACTTCATCACAAGATGCAGGAGCCATGCAAGCATCCTCCTTGCACACCTGAACCCAACCGAAGCGCTCACATGTTTGCATATCGCCAGGGAGCGCACCGCCAGGTGCGCCCACCTGGCGCCATTCGGGATGCCCAGGGACGCCCGCTCTGTTCCCGCGGCTGCCTGGGCTCGCTTCCGCGGCGCTGGGAGACGCCATGATGCAGGATGTGCTCTCCCAGCCCGCGGCAAGAGCGTCCTGGCAATCGGCATGCGACCCGTCGCCAACACGAACAGCGGCGCGACAGAGCGTTACGGCAGCATCGCGACTCCAGGCGGTGTTGCAATTACAGCTGCTTCCGCGCAGCCAGCAGCTTCATTAAACGCGCCATACTCCCTTAAATTCAATCCACCTATCCAACTGAGTACCTATGCAGACGCCCAGATGCCCCGGCACCACGCGCACAGTCAAGAGCCGCGGTCAACCCATAGCGACACGGCTGCACAATATTTTCGCCAGCAAAGTCGGAGGATTCTTCAGCATCGCGACCGCGGAAGGCAGAATTGTGGAAGTGATCTGGTGCTTTCAAGTGACTTTGCTGCGTCCAACTACCTGTTTCTACGGGCATCACGCATATGATACGCGCTCAACCTGCTCCAATTGGAAGTCGAAATCGCATTATCTTTCCAGGTGCTTGAATAATCTTTGCGTAGCCCGCGCCCACCTCTGCTTGGGAAGCTCACTTTGCAACAGGCAGGTCCGAAGAAGCTAGCAGCTTTGTTGTCTGACTGCCCGTGCAGCACCTGCACACAAAGAGCAGTGCAGCGGCGGCGCTGCCGTCAGCGGCCGCAGCAGCAGCGGCAGCAGCCGAAGCAGCCGTCACTCGCGGCGCGAGCAGGGCGCTATGGCCAAGGGGTCTCGCAGCAATAGGAAGAAGGCTTTGAGGACTGTCCGCCGCGAGAAGGTATGCATGCAGCGGTCAAGCTCGCACTGCCTGGAGCCCGCAGCAAACGGAAAAAAAACGCGCTTGGGCATGCACGGTGCCCAGCCTCATTGAAGCTCCTGCAGCGGTTGTTCTCGGCGCGCTGGGACAGAGGCTATGCAGCTCTGACTTGTCGTATCCGCCGTCGTAAGCGTTGACAGCCACCTGTGAAGCATGCCATAAGGGCAAGGCGCTGATGTGGCAAGCGCCCGCCGTGGTGTAACAAGGAGCAAGCCGTCCCTGGCCGTGCCTTGCCGCGCCCCCTCCCCCCAGGTCAAGGCGACGTGGCAGGAGGAGGCGGACAAGAAGCGCTTCGAGGTGGTGCAGCAGTGCGCCGAGGCCCCGCCCGTGCAGCTGTCTGCAGGGGAGCTGGAGCGCATAGCCGAGGCCAAGGCGGCGCCGCCGCGCGGCCGCGGCGGCGGGCCCGAGGCGATGGACGCGGACGGCGGCGGCGGCAAGGGTCCGCGGGGCGCGAAGGGCAAGGGCAAGAAAGGCAGCAAGAAGGGAGTTGTGGTGGGCGGCAAGAAGGGGCGCGCGAAGAAGGTCGGAGTCCTGGCGAAGGTCTCAGGTGAGGCAAGGGGCACAACTGGGCGGGGCAGGCCGTGGCGGCTGCTTGCGGCACTGGGTCAGCAGCTGGCAAGAGCGCTTGCTGCTGCGCCACTGGTGGCACGCGCTGGTGTGTGTGTGTGTGTGATGAGTGTTTGAGAGTAGTGGCCATCAGCCTGCATTAGCACGGCGTAACGGCCTCTCTGCTCCTTTGCTCATGCCGAACTGTAGGCAACCAGTTTCACAAGAAGAAGCGGAAGTGATGGCCAGTTTTTGACGTGTTTGTTGTTGTCGCGGCTTGTGTGTTTTGCAGCCACCTGCAGATGGAGGCTGCAAGAGCGATCTTTTGGTTGTGGGGGCTTGACGCGAGGGACATATGGCAGCACCTCCCAGTACGCTGTTGTAATGCACCTTCATCCTTTGCAGGACGCGGATGCGAGTGGATGCCAGTTGCATGTTTCTTGAAATATGTATGTACAAGGGCGGGCTTGCCAGACACTGCCTGCCGGCAGCAGGTGCTGCTGTGAGGCGCTCCTGACAACGAGCTTTATGCTGGCAACGAATAATATAGAAGTTTGAGGCCGGACAGGTTCCACGTGAAGAATCTTGTTGGGATTGACCACTTTTGACCGCTGCTTGTAAGGTGGTGCGATGTTGGTGTGCTTGCAAGCATCAACAGGAGTCACACGACTGACATCGTCTCGGGATAGGCCTCTTGAGGTCCAAAGTTTATTTTTGCAATTCAACTCTGCGAAGAGTCGATCGATTCTTCCCGATCGGAACGTGCAGGGACGGAGCCAGACCCTTCGAGTGATTACTTGGATAAAGGATGGGCGCAAGCTCGAGCAGAGCAGCTTTGGAGAGGGAGGAGCAGCAGTGGGCTCAACAGAACCAGCAGACGCAGTGGGCACGCAGCAGCGCCACCGCTGCGGCTGAATCACCCACTATCAGCACATGGCCTCCTGCCGCGGCTTTGCCCGCCGCCACCTCATGGCAAACGGAACCAGCAGCAGGACCCGAGCCTCACGCCGTGCTCGTGGTGGCGCGTCAGCCCTCACACCTGGCAGACGGTCCAAAGGTCCGGCGAGAAGGGGGGCGGCTGTCGAGTGCTTGCCAGTGGCCTGTAGCCCCTAGCCGGTTTTGCCCTGCACCACCCCACAGTCTCCAGCATCTACAAACCATCTGCGCCCCACAGGTAGTTCAGGAGGAACCGTCTCAGGCCCAGCAGCCACCAAGTTTTCAGCCCAACACATGCCCCCACACGCTCAGCATGGATGAGCCACCCCACCAGCCGAACTTCGGGGCGGCGGTGCAAGAGCAGCCCCTGGCCTTTACCGGCAACATGAGCGGTGGAGAGCCACAGCAGCAGCTTCCCGTATCGGGCTTCTTCACAAAGGCTCGCATCATCCGCTGGTGCGCCTCAACCCACACGCCGCAAGTGCGCTGCTTGATTTGATGGTTCGTTGGTCGGAGAAGGGCATGCTGAGCACGAGATGTGCAGAGCTTGGTAGTGTATTGATATCTACCCACAAGCCTTGACCCTGATGACACGAAAATCACAGGATTGCAATTGCCGTGGTAATCTGCGCTTCCATTATCATCACTGCAGTTCCTTCGTCCATCTTTGGGTGAGCCAGCAGGAGTGTTTGGCAGGGTGATGGCAGGCTCGAGCTCGATGCCCCAACCATGCACATGTGATGTTTCCAGCCTATGAGAGCAGCCCGCATGACAAATGAGTCGCGCACGCATGATGCTCGCCAAAACACATACATGGCATGGCCATCATCCGCCATCGCCAAGCAAGCACGCTACACGTGTAATGAGTGCAGGGTGTAGCGCACCCACACACAACGACGATCTTGTAACACGCCACGCACATTTGCGCAAACTGCAGGCCCGCCGTGTGCTCGGCGGCGCCAGGCCCTGTGCAGCGCCTCTCTGCGAGGGAGGTCAGCAACGCTCAGATGAACCTGCTGAACCTCTTCTCCTCCCCGCCACCTGTGGTCGGCTCCGAATCGGTCAACCCTTTGACCAACATCTACATCAGCTGGCGCCGCAACGCTCGCACCAACAAGGGCAGGGTGCGCACTCGTGTTGAGGGCTTTGAGAGTGGCGTTTGCGGGGACGTTGCTGTGCTCGGGCATGGCGACGGCCCTTACATACGGGCAAGGGCATGAGTGGCATGCTGCGCCCACGTCCCGGCCTTGCAGGGTTTGTTGCAGTCGTGGCTGGCCCAGGTGTCCCCAACACTCCGGCTTCCTCACTCACGTGCGTGCCTGCAGTGCGGTGTGGACTTCTACAACTGGACCATCCACAGCATTGCAGCAGAGGTATCAAGGCAGATTGTGGCTGCTAAAAAACAGCACCTGTGCTCTATGCACACACCTCGTTTGTCAGGCTTGCAAGGTGGCCAAGGCCCGGCAAACAGCTCTCGGAGAAGCGTTACCCCTTGACCGTGTTTATTCCACCCCAAGCTGCAGGCATGCCGCTGTCAACGCCCCTCCCCTCACCCCTCCCGCCCTTGCACCCCGCCCTCAGGGCCTGGCGCCCCTGTCGGGGGCACAGTCCGGCAGCGGCGACTCTGACATCGTCGGCCTTGGGGTGCGGGCAGCGTCAGGCAAGTGGCACTCACCGCATTCGTGCGCGATGGGCAACAGACTGCCGCAACACACATATGCGTGCATACACGTGGTTTGCTTATGCAGCGCCGTGCACCCCCTGCGTGCTGGATTGCGCTGATCCGTCTGCCGCCCACGCATGCTTTGACCGGCGCAGGCTTTCAATACAATGTCACCATCTTTGCTTGGGACCAGCAGGTGGGTCTAATGCTGCTGCTCTCGAGCTCCCCTTCGATGGAGGGGAGGGGGCGCACCAGTAACTGAAGCCCTTCCTGCCAACCTTACGCAGGGCGGTGCCGGGCCAGAGTCAAGCGCGACAGTTGCAGTCTAGTGTCGTCAAGGTGCTGACCCTCAACCGCGCTTCTAGCTGTGCAAGGCAGCAGCCCCCGTTGCTATGTTGGCCGCTAGACGCTGCGTTGAGTTGCCCCCCCCC